TGTTACCAACTACACCTTTGCTGCTTTCCTAAAACGTAATAACGATTAATAAAACTTCATTTATTTATTTTTTATTTATATTTGTATACCTAATATTTTTCTAATTCTTTATTTGTTAATCACTGGTGGAAATTTGCATTTCTAAAGATGTAATAAAGATTTATTATTGTTATCGAAAACAAAGTGTGCGGGCGAGTAAAATTTATTGGACTGAGTTTATAGCGTGTATTTATAGGTTATTTTATTTATGAGTATGTATGAATATGAGTTTGTGCTTATCTGCTACGTTCGGCTCGAGCCAATTTCGGCTCCAATAAACCCCCGGGTTGAACTCAGATAGGGTTGAGCCACACCGATGCCAGCTGACTGTGGGTTGAGCCCCGACATGGCCCGACCGCGCATATGTATCGGGGCCAAACTATCGGAGCCCAAATCACGCCCTCAATAGATACTTCTTGGGGGGTAATTTTAGGGTGTGCTGATTCTGAAAATACATGTCATATGGGTGTCACTGATTTGTCTTGCAGGAATGCCGGTATGGGACTTGCATCTACATGGGCACGTGTTGGTAGCATGGTATCACCGTACGTCATGTTACTAATCGATGTGTGGTACCCAATGCCGTATCTGATGATGGGAATTACGTCAATAATGGCAGGTCTACTCGCTCTTTTACTACCAGAAACGTTGAAGAAAAACCTGCCGGAAACGTTAGAAGAAGGAGAATTGTTTGGAACGTAAGTTCAATGTAATAGACTTTTAGACGGCCGCAGAGATGTCATTGAAGGCGAAGGCGCTACGAGTCTTGTTCTTGCGCTTCAAGTACATGACATTTCAACTACTCGTATCTTGTTAAAAAAACGGATAAAAATAGTTGGTCACCAAACTACTTTTTGCAGAAAACATATATCAAACACCAATGAAAATGGTGATGTTGGGGCATTTACCACAGTACAACTTTGTCATCATATCTAATATCGTTTGGTTACATACGATAACAATATTATAATTATTATTGGTTATAAGATACCCAACTCATGACTGTTTAGAGAACATTCCGATGATTATTATACATTTTTTTAATGAAATAATGTTTTTAAATGGTTTCCTATGAAAATTGCCATTTTGAAATCTTTAGGCAGTTACAAAGATTTTGTACTCGGGGGGAAAAACACGTGAAAAGTTAATGATGTTGTGTCAAAATAAATAATCTATTTATTACGTCAATACCCGCAATATCAAATATCATGGACACCTATTGACGTAATTATCATGCAAGCTGAGTTATGTAATTATTATATAACTAAGTGAGAAATATGGTAGACTGGGTATATGCATAAACATATGTATCCAGGAAACATGTTTTTTGTAGAAACTGGCAGTGTGCGGAACCAGAAGGCAATGATCGCAGATAAGGCAATCAAAGTAAAGAATTGCATTATGCGAGAAACAGAAACCGGGGTCACGTCAATATCAGGTTGCCTTGTAATGACATTCAGGTTTTAATGACAATACGTGTAAATTGTTGCCATTTGGCTTATTTGCATTATTTTTTCTCCAGAAAATATTACCAGAAAGAAGAAAAAGAAAATCTAAGTAAACAAACAGTTGAAATGGAAATACAATGTGATCTGGATCAAACTGAAGATAATGCTGACCACACGCCTGTCGACAACGATGGTTTTGTTAATAAGGCCTTTAGAGGCGAGTAGTTGCAGAACAGCGTAGACACAAATTATTAGCAAGCTACCATCTTTCAAGTTACAGTGGTTTAGATGAGTGATTCAATACTGAGATGCATTCACTGACATTATTCGCAACTCACATGTAACTAGATAAGAGCGAGGATACATAAGAGAATATAACCCAGGTTTCGAGTGGGTACAAGTAATAAATAAAATAAAGGCTGCACCTGGGATGATCAATTTTACAATTCTAAAGTTGTTAGTCTTTTCACCCACATATTCATATGAAGTGTAGACCCGTGGAAGTATTTGTAGAAAAGTATGTTAGCCTTTGCTTGGTATTTATCTACATCACAGTCACTCTACTAGGAGAGTGACTGTGTCTACATGAAAGTAATGGTTACCAGTGGTGGAGATTGATTGATTGATTGTTGATTGTGTATTGTTCTGTATTAAATGGGTGAGTTATTGAATGCTACATCTGGGTTTAGCAAAGCATTCTGGTAGTTTTACATAACTTTAGCTCTCACCTTTTAGACTTTTATTTGTTATGACATTTTCAATGAAGTAAGAGTTTAAAGTTTTTTCTGCATATGTTATTTGCATTCTATGAATGTTGTGAATGGGTGTATGAATATTATTGTCTATTTTCGAGATTTATATAGCAATTATGCATGTCAATCATCAAATCAAGGTCGCTGATTGGTTGAAATCGATCACATGCAAATGGTTTTATAACATGAGGTAGTTTCTCGTTCTCTGGACTGATGACTGGTTAGGACATGCGGGGAGTGTTGGGACACAGGGAAAATGAAAAGTATACATTTGTTAAAACTGTAAATTATTGGGTGTAGAATTAACAGCGTGTGGAGCCATCAGGTGTGACAGGTTGCAGATCTGAAGTGAAATTTGTACGTTATTCAAACTATAACCTTGTTGTACATTTTATTATGTGTTGCGTACGAACAGCGTTTGTGAAATCGTGGAGGTAGCTCCATGGTGAAAGAAGTAAACAGGAAACGAAACTGGTCTTCCCGAAACATGATTTGCATACTACTGTTAAGCTCCAGCAATCGATCAACATTAATTAAGCAAGATTTATGCAAATTAAACAGTTAAAGTAAGATTATGGCACATGCGTTTGTTTTTAATAATTTAAACCTAGTTTATAAGGTGTTCTACTCACAATAGAATTTTGAAATTTTAACTCAAGAACAAGGACGCCACCTTAAAGTGGTGCCTCAATATGTGACTTCAGTTATTTTGTTGTATACACATATTTGTTGTATGCCGACTTTCATCACTGAGTTTGAATGTAATAGACCTGCACTAAGAAAAGTTCTGCAGAGAAATTTTTGCCACAATTTTCAGTGTCTGTGAAAAAATACTCAAAAGGAGATATTTAGAAATTAATATATAGAAAAAGTACGTAACATATATGATTTATTTCACCAATAATAACAATTCTAGTAATCTACGGTGTCCAAGAGATACCAACCAGCACTGTCACAGCAAGTGATCTACAATGATCAAATTATCGCCTGAAAAACATGATAATTTTTTTTGCTATCTATACCTCGGGGGGGGGGGGGGGCAAGCACATGTTCGCGAATTTTCTCAAAATTTTCTGGCTTAACTTCAGCACTTGAAATTCAAGAAA